AAAATGCATATACTGGGTGATCATAAATAAAGTATCTGTTCAACCTGTTGTCTAGAGGAATATTTAGCAGTCCAGAAGCAGCCAAATTTGGTATGGTGATTTTTTCTGTAAAAAAAAATGTATGAAAAGTTGCTACTCTGGTACCTTTTGCACTGCAGGCAACAAACATTTGTGCAACATATCCATGCTGTACAGAGAACTTAGCAGTGTAGGAAATACTGCTCAATGTGGTCTCCATTCTGAAGATGTAAAACTGGTAATTTAGTATTTTCAATTGATTGATCTTGTATGATGTTTCTATGAGTTACCAAATTGCAACTTGTACTTGATAAAGCAGTTTTTAAGTATTTCCACAAATAAAATTGCCTTTTTTAGTTACTTGCAGCACTAAAAGTGCCATAATGGTATGTTTCAGTACTGATTATGTTATGAAATTGTCTTCATGTCCTGAAATGTTACCATACCAGATTTGGTTGCACTTTGACTACTAAATATCTCTCTAGACAGCCAATGCTGTCTACAGAGATATTTAGTAGTACAAGTACTTCAGTTAGAATCACCTGATATATTAAACTTAAATTTTATTATATATTTATTATTGAAAAAAATTTATTAAAAGTTAAATATTTTTAATTACATTTATTAAATGTATATAAAATATACTAAATAATAAAGTAACTTAGACATTATTATATAAGGTGGTGATGATTAGATAAAGATACTAAGACAATTATGTAGAAGTTAAGACTGTTTACAGTTTGATGTTTATTTCTGTACTTAATAGATTATTAGAGATATTTAATACATATATTATTTATATAATTCTATTAAATAGCAGAAAACAGTATTATTTCATCAATGACATTCATTTTACAGAGGTGCTATGACCAGAAACAGTACTAGGTGGGTTTTTAGAAAATTTAAATTTTGGTGTTTTAGGCAAAGCTGTGAGATTATATTATTTTCTCTTAAGGCATTACCAGAATAGAACCTAACCTGAACTCTTTATCATGAACTCTGGGGGAAAAATATTGTCTAAAGGGAATAATTGGTAAAGCTGTAAATGAAGAGTTGAGTGAAAGAGAAACATTCATTTTGTCTTATGTTGATAAGAAAGTAATTTTATTTTGATTTAAGAGCAGCAGTCATGCTTTTTAAATGTATAAAAAGTAAGTAAATGTGGAAGAAAACTTTTCTGAAGAACACTTCCTAATGCTAATTTTGATAATATTTTAAACCCAAAAGATGATGATCAAAAATGATTCCAAAAGATACAATTAATTTATTCTTTGTTAAACATCTCAGATGAGTAAAATTAAATCTTAAGATGTCTGTTACTAATAATAAAATTGATGGAATTTTCCTCACAATTAAAAGGAATAGCGCATAGGGTGGAGAGAGCTGAGATGATGATAGACACTAAATTTATAAAGTCAAGCTTTAGAATTTGTTTTAAATAATAAAATTAATCAAATATGAATAAGTTAATAACATGGAACTTTTCATTGGCATATAGTTCCAAAATTAAAGAACTTTTTAATTTATTGAAAATGAATTAAAAATGGATTTTATATCTAATAATCAATTTTTTTATCAGGAATATTGGGCTTAATTCAATAATTATTAAGATAACTTTTGAAAGTGTTATTTTGAGTTTGAATTCAAAGAATGTGGCTAAGAATCAATGAAATTTTCATTAGACATTTGACTACATTATCTCGGCAATTTAGACAAAAATTGCTGTTACATAAAGCTGCTGGAGATAAGAGAATACAGTAACAGTGTGTTGTATGCTGATTATGTAATATCTGAAAATAAATATACATTTTCTTTCAGTGTGAATAAAGTTTTGTGTGCAGTCTGTTTTTTTAGAGGATGATCAGATTCCCTGGAAGACTTAAAGGAAATTCTAAAAATCTTACTGTGAAATTCCAATAGAAGTTGGAATTGTCACAGTTTCAAATCTAAATTGTATGATAATTCTTTTATTGCATTAGTAAATAGCTCTGAAATTGGTCTTATTGAAATATGGCTAGATAAAGGTGACAGAGTACTAAGTAATAAAATAAAGGGAGAAAATAATGTAGTGATAGGAGATTCTCCAAAAAAAATTGGATGTAGGGTGACATAAAGAAGGCATTGTATTATTTGTTAAAAAGCTATGGAAGCTATACTTTATTCTTATTCTAGTTCAAATTTAGTATTTGTGCTGTTGGAGGTTATCCTAGAGTACCATACCAAGTGATGCTCTAGGATAACCTCCAATAGTTGCCATTCTATTGATATACTTGCCAAATAATAAGACAGTGGATGTAATATTTAAGGAAATGGAATCTTAAGCAGGAATGGTCAACATATATAAGAGATCTGGATAATTTTGGGATATTTAAATTCAAGAATAGCTGAAGAAACAAACTCCTTTTATCAAAGTATAATAATAATAAATATTCATAATAATAAACTGAGTAAAGATAAATAGAAATAGATGCAGTTTGTTAAACTTTGCATTGAATAACAAATTAATTATAAAAAAGGTAAAATATTAAGTGATATACTTTCTGAATATACAATATGTGTGTGATTCTGGTGGATCTACAATCAATTTTATATTATGTTCAATGAACATTGTGTGTAGCTGTCAAAGCCTTAGTTTTACATTATGATGCTTTGACCATTTCTTATGTCATCAATTAAACAGCAAAACAAGATTGATAATAAATCTGAGTTAATAATGTTAAATAAAACTAAATATCAAATGATACCAAAAATTAAGTTTGATAAAGATAGCAGATTGAAACATTCATTCAAAATTGTTTAAAACCTATAAATTTTTCAAATGAATACTGTAATTTCAAAATATTTGATGAGAAAATGATGAAATCCATGTAGTCATTTTGTAGTATAGTTCCAAGGAGAGCTGCTCAGTAGCTCTCCTTGGGAATATACTACAAAATGACTTTATATCTTTCTATGTGACTACATGACACCATATAAAATGGCCTAAAATGGTGTAAACTCTGGCTTGATAGAAAATCTTTCTTTTGTAAACCTTACAAATCTGAGAATTTCAATATGGCACTTCTAACATCCAAAGGTTTTTGAGGACGACTACTTTATTTTTTTAATGTATTGTTACAAATGCATTTTGGAACAATGTATATTTTTGTTCCCTGTTTGGTGCCAATTAATTTAAAATATTTTTGACAATTTTTTAAATTCAAATATACAGATCGCATAATTTAAAAACTTGTTAAACGACCACTCCTGTATCCATATTAAATGTTACTCTGATATTTTACAGTTCAAATAGTGTGAAACAGCAAATGTTTAAAATTGTTCATTTTAACATTATTGATACAGGAGTGGTCTTTTAATAAGCTTTTTTAATTATGTGATCTGGGTGTATTAGACATTATTCCGAAATGCATTTGTACGAATAAATTAAATGAATAAAGTCATTGTTGTCAAAAACATTTGGATGTTAGAAGTGCCTTATTGAAATTTACACCCAAAACTTAATCATTCTGGANAATCATACAAATTTAAAGTAAAGGTTAAATTTTCTGTTTTTAAATAGTGTGCTTGTGTGTATCTGATAGACTTGTAGAAAACAGTTTCTTAAAGATTAGAAAATAAAAATTAAGATTTATAATAATAATATCTATTTTATATGGAAGTAGAATTTGCCTTTTATATGCATTTATAAACAAAATTTGTTAATCAGTTCTAAATACAAAGGAGTCTATACATGAAGTATTTTTTATATACAGTGGAACCTCTACATTCGTCATTAATCTGTTTCTAAGAACCTAACGAATATGGAATATAGAAACAATTTTTCTTATAATAATAAATAACTGATATTCAGCTAATCTGTTCCCATCCAAAAAAAAGGTACAAGAATAAAAATTATGTTGTTTATTAAACTTTATCTTTCTTGTACTAAATAAATACAGTATAGTGGTAGAAGGGGAAGAAGAGTAAGGCTGTTATTGTTTAGAAGATGACATACTATCAATTAGAACATTAGATAATTCCAGTTATGATCTCGGCATATTAAATTCTTTGGCTAAGTTGGAAACACTTTGTCCATTTTCAGAATTAGTAATAATTTTTTATTTTACCTCTAACAGCTTTCCTTTTTTGCTGTTTTTCTTCAGTGTGCTTTGTTGGAGCCATTGAAACTTGAGTTTTTGAAAATAATCAATGCGAGAAACCAAGAACACATGATGACTGCACGAAGCAGACTGATTAACTACAGCTAGCTAACATAGTGTTGCTGACTTAAAATTCAAATTTATAGCTAGACATTTTAATAAAAATATTCAAATCATATTGTTTTCATTAAAATTGTTTGATTTTTTTATAGCTAGATGACATTATAAAAATAGCTATGCCCTTATAATTTAAGTAATTTGCATAGCTAGATTGTTCATAAATCCACTAAACCTAGCAAAAAATTAGCTAAATTGACAACAAAAGCTAACATGACTAGCTGATCGGCATGGGCATGTGATTATAGCAGGACTGCCAGTGTTAGGAATGATGACAAATACAGAAAATACTTACCAATGCGGAAAAAAAAGGTCATCAAAATGTGACAAATATCAAATATTTCGAATGTAGAGGTTTCACTGTATTACAAATTTTAATAAACTTTAAACTATAATAAAATTGTTTTCAAATTATTAAAATTCTTACCTTCAAAACAATTTCTTATTTTGAAGGTAAGAGTAAAATAAAACTTGAAATTAAATCAAACTAAAATTGTTTTTTGCATCTGTCTACAAGTATGTTAACAATCATAGAATTATCATAATAAGTTTGTCAAAAGCTCTATGAATTGTAATATAGAAACAGATATTAAGAATATATTTTTTATATTACATAATCATATCAATCATAGCACATTACATGTAATACTTAATGTATTCATAAAAATTTAATTGAAAAAGTATTTCAGTTTTAATTATATTAATTCATTATTTGAGATAATTCAGCTAGCTATGGAACTGTTTCCCGTCCACTGAGCAGAAAAGTAGGCGTTCAACAGGAAATAAGCAGAATTCATTTATATATTAAGCAACTAAATGCTGCTAATGTTACAGTAAAGAAAGAACTTGCAGAAATAAAAGCTAAAGTAAGTAGTAATATATATATTATGTCATTTCTGCTGAAACATTTTTAAGTTATTTTATATAAATTAAATAATGAAATATGCATAATTAGTTACTAAAACTTGTACTTTTAAGTTATATACAGTGGTACCTCAGGATACAAAATTAATCCGTTCTGAAACTGAGATCGTATCATGAAAATGTTGTAAGGTAATCATTTTTTCCCATACAATTATATGTAAAACCAAATAATTCATTCCAACATGAAAAACACACTCAAATTAAAGCTAAGTAGTACATTAAAAAAAATAACTATAGTAAGGAAAATACTGAAAAATGTGTTTCGTAGTAGTAAATGTATAAATAAACATAATAGAATAATAATTAATAAAAAAAAATGTAGTTTTCTTTGTACTTTACCTTTGAGGATAGACGACAGTGGAGGTGTAAACTGGTGGCGGAAGAGAGGGAGAAGGGAAATGATACTAAAACTTAACTTACATAACATAATGTAATAACTTAAAAATAACTTAGAAAGGATAAAAAAATTAGTGTTGTTTTATATATATATATATTTTAAAAATTTTTATTCACTGCTTTTTGCTTTCTTTCCTTCACTTCCACCAGCACTTTCACTGGATAGAGGTCGCTTGGTAAAATATCTATCCAAAGAGGTTTGGCTTTGCTTATTTTTTAAAATGTTTCTAAAATGACTTAGGCAAATGTCATTACTCCGAGCAGCAATACGGCCAGTGTGAACCTTTT